ACCATTGACAACAGTTTTCAGCTGTAAAAGGAAAATGTGAATGAAAACCCATGTGAATAATAACAGCTTAGTCAAGTTGACCTGGTCCAAAGAAAGTGAGCCCTAGTTCAGGCAGCAGCTTGTTCATTCATAATATGTACTGTAGGATAAGCAGGAACACTCTAGTAACACTTATTGAAAGGGTCCAGGGATGAAGCTAAGTGGTAAAGCACCTGCCTTGCAAGTGTGAGGCTTCAAGGCTTGACCCACCATCTAAGGCAGAGTGAGATTTTCAGTGTCTAAGTACAAGCCCTGTGCATACATACTGTAGCCAAGAGTACAACCCCTGGTACACTGCAACCAAGTTTGCAGCTCCTGGATAAGCAACAACAAAAAAGTTTAACGTGATTAATAAAAGGTATTTCAGGTAATAAATATGCAATTCTGTGTTTCTATTGAAATATGTTTCAGGGACAGAGAGATAGCTCAACAGACTGGGCGCAATTCTGCAAGCAGGAGGCCTAGGTTCTATGCCTGGCACCACAAGGTCCCCTGAGAACCACCAAAAGTGATGCCCAATCACCAAGCCAGGAGAAGCTACAGCTACCGCCAGGTGTGGTACCCCCCAAAATATCATCATCATGATCATGATGTATAATCTTTATATACAATTACCTCATTACCTGAGAACCAAACTTTCAAAGAATTTTATCGCATATTTGTTTAAGACAATATGAATTTTAACCCAATACTTTTAAAAATAAATTCTCTTTCCTTGCTCTATGTTGTTGTGATAACCTGCCTTTATGCCCACAAGACATGTGCACTATCGTGGAGACAGCCCCAGCTCCCAGCTATCTCTCCCCAATGCTTACCTTTTTTTTTTTTACTTTTTGGGTCACAGCTGGTGATTCTCAGTGGTTGCCCCTGGCTGCACGCTCAGGAATTACTCCTGGTAGTGCTCTGGGGACAATATGGGATGCCAGGGATTGAACCCAGGTGAATCACATGCAAAGCAAACGCCCTACCCACTGTATTATCACTCCAGCCCCCATGCTCACCTTTGACAACTTCCATGACACCACTTATCATTCCCTCTCTAAAAAATGACTTGGAAAGGTAGAAGAATGATGGACCTTAGAACCTGAGAACCTGGCTTCCACAGAGTACCACCACTTAAAAGCCTCCATTTACAAATTCTAACCAGCTTGTTGGAGTAGCCTGGCCAGCCACCACCCCAGCTGAAGTGCCAGATATTCCAGCCCCAGACAGACTCCCAGTAAACCTCAAATTGTGTTCAGCTCCCTGAGTGGGTCCAGTCTGTCAGAAATCTTGCCAAACAAGTCCTGCAGCCTCGGCCAGTGAGGCTGGTCAGAGAGAATGAGACAAACATACAAGCGCACACACACAAGGACTGCCCAAGCTTTAGAGTCCCTTGGGCAGCCATTAGTGGTCTCACAGGCTGGCCATTTATTCAATACCATATGGCTCATCGACCTGGGCTTCCAGCACATGAGCCACTGCTTTAGTTTACATAGTCATTAAGTACATCATCCTATAATAAGTACATGAAAATCAGAGGCTGGAGTATTTCACACAGCCCATCAGAGAGAACTCTTAAAATAATAGAGCAAAATAAAGCAATGTGGTGACAGTTTCTATTCAACGTTTGCCCAGGTTGTCCCCTAAGTCTAGAACACCCTAAATAGTTTTATTCTATGCTTTCCCAGCACACAGGTTTGCAGCCAGCAGACAGTTGTCATCTATGTTATTCTTTCCTGCCATTCTATTCTTTCCTGAGTGCATATCTGCAAACCCTTTGCATACTAATACCTAAGCTATTTTACCTAAGGGGATATCCCAACTTTGGGGGTTTTTTGCTAGAGGGATGAATTCCCACACAGGTTAGTACCATATCCAGCAAAAGAACCTCCCTTGGGAGCACAGCCATCCCACAGAATCAGACATTATGCTCAGAAAGGAAAAAAGGTTCCATTGGATAATGGTGCAAGGATCTTGAGACACTGATGGAGGAACTGGTCTAATGACTATGCAACAGTGAAACAAAAATTTCACTGTATTGAAAACTGATACAAGTAAAAATTAATTTAAAATAATGAGTAAATAATAATAAAATGAGTAAATCTGCTCTCTATACAAACTCATACGAAACAAAATTAAATAGCGCACTCCCTGGAGTGTTCTTCAGAGGGAGAAAACTTGAGTTCTTCAGGAATCAAGCTTGTGACTCACTCAAAAGGTAAGGAAAAAATGATATCAAGAGAATACAAGTTGCAAAGCAGATGTGCAAAGCATAATCAGGTTCTATAAGAAACAGAACAACAGCATCACATATGCAAACACAACGCAGCATAAAGAACACTAGAGAAAGAGAACTCTGAATAAACGAATGCTAAAAGAACCATTTCTGTTTCTCATTGATGGCTACCAAAGGCAAAACCAAAGAGTTGATAAAACATGCCTGCAATGAAATTGGGGTATCTAGCACAGACTACTCATTAGAAAATGAAATCCATTCTAACCATACTGGGAAATTCTATGATATACTCTTAGTAGTATTAGTATTTACTAGTTTTCAATAAAAGTTTTTAATTCCTTCATGATAAGGGACAGAACACTAAATATCTAGAACCTGTTATATACCTCCTTCAAATTCATGCCATCTCATCTTCTTAGTGTCCTGTGTAAAAACCTCCAGCTCTGACTTGGGAATGTAGCTCTGTGGAAGAACATATGCCTTCACTCTATGACAGTCTGGGTTCCCTGATACCTAAGAATGAATAAATAAGCAAATAAGCTGTAATAAAAAGACTAAACCTCCATTTCTCACAACGCAAAAACCTTTATTTTATAACAGATTTTGTGTTAAGATTGCAATATTGAAAATGAATCAGACAAGTTATTGAACTAAGAGAACAATAAGCAAATTCCTAAGTTTAATCAGTATAATTCAGACAAAGACAGTTAACAGTCAACAAATGTAATTTTTGGTACCAGAAATGTGGTTCAAGTGATAAAGCACATGCTTATATATGTTGAGGCAAATTCTAGAAAGACCTTCAGGTACAAAAGAACAGGTGAAATGTAAAATTTATCATCTATGCAACAAACAGCGTGTTGTGAGTGTCATAATCAACTCCACTTAATGCAGCTCCACAACTTCCCAGGATCATTACCTTCCACCAGCTATCAGGGGACCCCCATTGGGTTTAATGAAGATGTGCTAAACACTGCAAAATGACAAATGAGGCTCCAAATGGTGCCAGAGCTTTAAGACACAAGTCAGCAGGCCAGTACAGTGCAGTAAGGGCTGGATTTCCAAATAGAATTGCACACCTCTAGGAATTGACTTTGTTCCCATGATTATTTGTGCCAGACACCTGTCATGTCGATGTTGACTGCAGTTTCAATACACAGTTTTGTGCCACAGGTCTTGTCAATGTTTATTGAGTTTCAATACACTCTCAACTGAGATGAATTGTTTAAAAGAAACCTACATGGTTGCAAACCACAACACCCAAAAGGAGAGAGATAACAAAGGGGAACGCCCTGCCACAGAGGCAGGGTGTGGGATGGGGGGGATGGGAGGTGGGAGGGATACTGGGATCCGTGGTGGTGGGAAATGGGCACTGGTGGAGGGATGGGTATTTGATCATTGTATAATTGAAACCCAAGCACAAAATTTGTAAGTCTACAACTGTACCTCATGGTGTCTCACTAATAAAAATTTTAAAAAATTAAAAAATTAAAAAAAAAGAAACCTACATGGTTCTAAAATGACTGAGCTAGACCCCACAAAGGAATATTGCTTCCTCCCTGGCAGCACCTTGCCTGAAGTGGCATTTTCCTTCTGTGTGACCTAGGTTTTGTCCCCTCTGCAATCGATCAACTTCCAGGCCTGGCAAGGAAGGAACTGTGTCATGGCTACGGACTCACAGGAATACCTTTCTTTGGGGTCCTCACTGATGCAGGTTGGTTATGAACTACTTGACTATATTCCCAGAAGCAGCACAATGTACTGACAAGAATATGAGGTGTTGGGGGGCGAGGGGGGGAAGAGAGAGAGAGAGAGGGAGAGAGAGAGTATATAAAAAACTTGCCTTGCATGAGGCCTTGCAGCTGACCCTGTTTCAATCCCTGGTACCACATACGATCTCCTGAGCACTGCCGGGGGCACTCCTGAGCACAGAGCCAAGAACAGTGTCCCAGACCACCACCAGGTGTGGACCACAGAAACAAACACACAAAGAAAAAGGGGGCTGCAAGACCCACACTTCCTGGGTCTGAATCCCGGCACCATGACTTACTGTGGGACCTCGAGAAAGGAACATGAGCTCATGAGCTCACCATGCTTCAGTTTCCTGAGTAATCTAACTCAAGAGGTGGTTAGAGATCAACCTCACATCACCGGTAAAGAAATAAACAAATTAGTACATGCAATGAGATTGGGGCAGTGTCTGCATAGGACATAGTAAATGGTCTATAGGTAGAAGCAGCTGTTATTTGTATTGCTTTGTGTTTGCATCAGATATGTCTTGCCAGGATCCTAGTGGAATGTGCTGAAGAGCCGTCTGGTCAATGTTCAATGAACACATAGTGTCACTTCAGTAAAAATGTTTTTAGAAAATAATGAACAAGCAAGTCATCTTGGGATTCTTCATCTAAAGCTCTGGACCCTTCTTGGTATGACTCTTTTGATGCCATTATTTTTCTGTTCAATCTGTTTACCCCAATGTATCATCTACCATCTGCTAACAACAAAAATTTTAAATACAAGAATACCATAAATAAATACAAATAAAATGTGACAAATTAGGGGGATTTTCAGAACAAAAGGGGGAATTTCAGCAACAATTAGGCCAAAAATGCTGTTCAAGGGATAGGTATATATGTAGGTCAGCAGCAGAGAGCGTAACTCATGTGTGTGAGATGCTGGAATTTATTTCCATTTAACACATAAACACACACACACAGAAATTTCCTCAATACCTTGGCCTAAATGCTGTACACCAAGAGTCCCAAGATGTAACTTGTGCATGAGAAAATAATATATCCAATGATTTACAAATTTACTCTAATTTCTTTAGCAGACAATACACACAATAGCATGTTTACAATGAAAACTTCTTGGGGAGTATTTACTATTTAGTAGCTCTACCAAGTCACTCGTCCTGATTTTCTGATTTCCAAAAAGCTGCACTCATTCTTCTCTATCAAGGATAAGAATAAACCCTAAAGAAAATACATTTCATCGGGTCTTCATCACTGTGGAGCACTGGTCTTCAACAGAGAAGGGTTTTCTTATTGCTCCATAGCGGAAGCCTTTCTTACATTCACAGGCAAAGTCATGGAGCTGAAATGGCGCCGCCCGTCTAAATACAACATGGACTCTGAAACAGAAGAGAGAAAACCCTGGAGAAACTCTCAGACCTTAGAAACATCATCACCAAACAGAAGGCTACCGGGTGACACCGGGGTAGCAATGAGCAAGTAAATCTAGGAGTATATGTGTATGGCTGGGCTAGGGGTGTGAAAGGTGCCAACTGAGCAAGCCTTGAGTCCCACCCCTCCCTCTGGAATACCAATCTTTAACTACCAGAGGACTAGCAATAGCTGCTTGCAACTGGCACCCACCTCAGACAACAGCCAGGGGGACTATACAGCAACAGCTGCAATGAGGGCCACAAGGCATCTTCTCCTACAGAGCTGAAGGATCTCAAAAGCAAAACCTCCTAAATATGCTATTGCAATGACAGGTATCAGTGAGTTTTGCCCAACAACTCAAAGAGAGACACACTTTCTATAGAATTCTGCCCTTCATTAGGGATCAAGAGTCATTGCTGCTTACCTCCATACGTTTTGGGGAAAACCAAGGGCACCTCTTTGTCTGACATGTATGTGAAATGAAAAACATTGGTGGTTGTATGTGTTTGATCATGAAGAGAGGCCACTTCACTGTGAACTCTGACTTGAATGTAATTGCCTTGAGTAAAACAAACCTAAGAGATCATGAACATGGTAGTTAATCAATCACATTAGGAAGAGGAAGGCATACACAAGAGAAAGGGTGGCTTTCTAGCATGAAAACATTTCTCCTGATTCAAATGATAAAAACGAAATTGAGTCTCATCTCTCATCACACACCTACCTGGGAAGAAAGAAACAGCAATGATCCAACTTCAACAGGCTTCTGAAACATGATATCATCCACAGCTACTACAAATGGCTGGGAACCACTAGTGGGAAACACAAAATGGAGTTGAAAAATTCATATCATCTCTAGTTCTGATGAAAACTGACAAAAGTCAAATTCAAGTGACCCAAAAATAAACCTAAATATAGGGGAAATAACCACACCAGCAGGAAATGGTATGAGAAGACAGTGACCAGCCAATGTCAAATTCACTGTATCTTCTTCCTTCCTCACTTAGTTTTCCCAGTAGGTCTTTAATGGACTAACTTACAAGGTCAGAGCAATAGTCTTTAAGGTACTAACTTACATAGTCAGGGTAAGAGGTTTCTAAAATGAAATTCAAGTCCAGCTGCTATAAGAATCTTATTTATTTTAAAATGGAACTTTTTCCTAATGTCTAGATTCATGCAAAATGTTTCAACTCACTGTGATAATAGAAACTGTGTCTCAGACTACCACAAGTCTAACTCACCAGAATTTACATGCAGTAGCCCATCCGAGTTCATAAGCTTTCCTCATAAGAAAACCACCAAAGATACGATTGAAAATGTTCCGCTCCTATTGAACAGAAAATAATGCCTACTAAATAGAAATTTGGAAACACCCTCCCATACAGAACAAAGGAAGTAGTAATGCCACACAAGACAGTTCAATTTCAACATGGGTTGAATCTTTGATGACTATGACAAATGCAAGCTAGTCTTGTTTAACAGCTTGTTCACGAAAGTACAGTACCTGAGGGTGACAGATTTCCAAGCTCTTCAGTTTTGAGTTCTCCATCCATACTGCATTAGGGGGCAAAACTCGACTTTGAAAACTAATGGTCCTATAAGTAGAGTTTTTATAAACATGTTAAATTAATAGTTTTCAGGGGGTGGAGAAATAGTACAGTGTGTTGGTTTGTCCCTTGCTCAGTGCCAACCTGGATTTAATCCCCAGCACTTCTGATGGTCCCCTACACACCACCAGGAGTGATCCTAGAGCATACAGCCAGGAGTATGCCCTGAGCAATTCCAGGTGTGGCCCAAAACACAAATAAGCAAAAAAAGTTTTCATGCTAAAATGTGAAATATTTTTGAACAATTCGCAATATATTCAGGCAAAAGCACTCTTGCACTTGCTAGGTTTTAAATGCTTCCCCAGTCTGGAATCTCAGCGCCCTCACTTACTTTGGATCCAGTGTGCTAAGAAACAGCTCGTGGACAGTTGTCCTCTCCTCAGCACTGGGAGCCATTTTCAGTAATGATGCAGAGGAAAAGGCAACCCTTTTCCCCTTGTTCACTGCAACATGGAAGAAGCAACTACAATCACGAGGTCTTATTATAGCACTGGGGGCAGGAGTTTCCTAACCATGGTGTCTTGGTCCCTAGAGATGTAGTATTTCAAGATTTCTAAAACTTCCTGGAAGGTATAGATTTCCCACCACAAGCTATCCCACAATAGGATGTGGGGTCTACCTAAAATGTCCAGTGATTCTTTGCTTCCAGATGGAAATTACACAGCCTCAAGTGAGATCTCTAAATCTCCTGATCTAGAGTCCAAACCAGCATCTCATTCAGTAAGATGCAGTTCCCACTTAATTAAAAATGAGAAAACAAATTACTTAATATGCATTATCTGAGCAATAAAATTATCAAAATATGAAACAAAATAAGGTATTTTCAATTTTGTAAATAAATAAATTTATCACATATGAAAATCATTCCAAATCAAGTAAATTCTTGGCTGAATTAAGATACCTGATTTATGAGGAACTAATACATCTTTTAAATAATTGCCTCAGTAGTAAAATTAGTGTGCTTTTAAAATTTCATCTCAATTGCTTTTTAAGTTGTATTGGACAAACAAAAGTGAATGGAATTTACCTCTACCTGATGTGCTCTATAAGAGATGCTGAAAAGGAGGCCAAAATTCGAGGTCGGGTGTTTGTCTTGCCTTATATACTGCCCTGAGTCCACCATAAATAATGATCCCTGAGAACAGAGCCAGGAGGAAACCCTGAGCATTGCTGGGTGTGGTCCAAAGACAAAGGAAAGGAAGGATGGAAGGAGAGAGGATGGGGCAGGAAAAAAGTTACTTTACTTGAAAAGACGAATCATCAGAAGAACATTCAATAAATGTAATAAAAAGTATCAGAAAAATAATAGTGACATGAGAAAACAAATAAAAGGGAAAGAAGAAAATGTGAAGACAAGTATATTCCAATGACAATTAGCCCTTACCAGCACTAAAAAAGACTTCAATAAACTATGATACATTCTTCATGGTCATCACAAAACAAAAATGTGGAGTAGAGACATTAAAAGAAAAAATGACTATATGGAGAAAATCAACAGATAAATACATCCAAATGAAAAAATAGAAACAAACTGGAATAAAACAATGGACATCAAACAACTTGAAAACAAAAAGTAGAGTAGTTAGTAAGCAACATATATCAAATAAGGACCCTAAAGGTGTATGGTCCAAACTCACCAATCCAAAAAAACAGGGTAGCTGAATACATAAAAAAATTAAAATCAGGAGCCATCTATACTAATCATACAATGGTCTCATGTAACTCAGAGTAAAGACAGAGCAAGGACTTCCAAGTCTACAGTGAGAGAAAAGGAAAGGAATGATTTTCATATGTGATAAAATACACTTTCAATTAAAGACATAGATATATACTGATCAAGGGGATGATACAGCAGAAAACTATAATAGTCTCAATCTATATGCACACAATGCAGAGGCAACAACCTGTCTAAACAATTATTAATAAACCTCACTGAGAGCAACACAGTAATTGTAGGGGTATTGACATACCACTTGCAACAATATACAGTAATTCAGACAAAGAATTCATTTAGGAATTAATGTCATTAAGTGAAGGAATCAAATATATGGACTTAATAGATATGTATATAAACTTCCATCCTAAAATAAATGAATAAACATTTTCTCAAGTACACATGGAACATTCTCAACAATAGATCAACTGTCTTAACAAATCTGTGACTACTAAAATTATCAAAGATATTTTCCAATCACAATAGTATGAGAATAGAAATTGGGAACAAAAATCAAACAGAAAAACTCCCACCCATGTGTAACTGAAAAACATGCTTCTGAATTACTCTTGGCTGAACAAACATAATAATCAAGAGAAATAAAATAGTACCCAAAGAAAAATAAAGAGAGACCAGTTATCTCTTCTGGACTCAGCAAATGGAGTATTAAGAGGGAAGTTCATTGCTATACCACAGTCCAATATCAATAAACACGACACATCCCAACTGAAAAATCTCACTTTGCACCAGATGGAACTAAAAACAGAGGAAGAAACAGAACCAAAGTGAGCATAAGGAAATGACAAAAATTGCAGAGGTAAGAAAAAGAAATTGTAGCGGGCTAGGGACATAGCTCAAAGGGCTACTGCAATGCTTTGCCCATCAGGAGCCCAGATTTGCTCTCTGACACCATAAGGTCCCTCAAGCAATGCCAGAAACAATCCCAGGGAACTCCCTGAGAGAAGTCCCTGAGCACTGCAGGGTGTGGGCTCAAAATCATCAGAGTCAATATAACTTAAATATAAACCCAAACAATCATACAAAAGAACAATGAAACTACATGCTGGTTCTTTAAAAGGATCAATAAAATAAATATACCTATTGCTAGTGTCATAAAAAGGGAAAGAAAAAGACTCTAGTAAAAGAATCAGAGAGATGGTCATACACCTCAGAAGTAAAGCACTTGCCTTGCATGTGTGAGACTCTCAATTCAATCCCCAGCATCAAAGCCAAACAAACAGAAAACCAAATAAGGATTCAGAGATAGAAGAGGTGAAGTTCCAATGATACTATCACTGTATCACTGTCATCCCGTTGTTCATCGATTTGCTCGGGTGGGCGCCAGTAACGTCTCCATTCGCCCCTGTCACGTGGTAGTGTAGCCCGATGGCATACTGGGGGCTCTTTCAGGGTTGGGGGAATGAGGAACATAATTGTTACTGTTTTTAGCATATCGAGTACACCATGGGTAGCTCGCCAGGCTCTGCGCTGCGGGTGGAATGCTCTCAGTAGCTTGCTGGGCTCTACGAGAGGGATGGAGGCTATTGGGGCAGCATCTAATCACCTTTACAGGTGTTCCCAGTCAGGAATATATATATAACATATATATATATATATTTCTCTCTATGATTTGTTGCCTACTGTCTGAGCCCCATCAAATATGGTGTGGTAATTATGGAAAATGAGTAGGGAGTATATTATGATGTATTGCGCAGCTGGGAAAGTGGCCGCGCAGTCCAGGAATATGTTCACTCATACGTGAGGCTCGGCCCGAGCATGTGAAAGTGGCCTGGAGCATGGCGGTGGTTGGGTTCTGGAGGTCGGCTGCCAGGGCTGGGTCCCTTGGGGCGGGGAGGGCTCTATATAAATATAAAATATTATCAGATACTACTATAATTATATACAAGTAAACTGGACTAACTTTTTGCTTTGGGGTCACCTAGCTATACAGAAGGCTTACTCCTGGCTAAGTGCTCCTCAGGGATCATTCCTGGCAATGCTTGGCAGACAATATATGTGCCAGGTACTGAATCACGTTCAGCCCACATGCAAAGCAAGTGCCTTATCCCCAAACTCTCCCTGGCCCTGACAAGCTTCTTAAGGTCATTATCCCAAATGTGTAACTTAAGGTTGGGATTGAAAAAAAATGTTTAAAAATACACTTAAGATTTATTGTTAGAAAGTTTCTGTTCATTTCATCGCCCCATTTTCTGGTGGGGTTAGATGTTTTCTTCTTGTAGAGTTCAACCAGTGGCTTGTATATCCTTGATATCAACCCCTTCTCAGATGGGTATTGGTTGAATATCATTTCCCATTCTGTAGATTTTCTTTGTATTCTGGTCACTGTTTCTTTTGAGGTACAGAAGCTTCTTAGTTTAAGATAGTCCAATTTGTTTATCTGTTTGGCCAAAAGGCACATGAAAGAATGCTCTTCATCACTAATCATCAGGGAGATGCAGCTCAAAACAACAATGAGATATCATCTCACACTACAGAGACTGGAACACATCCAAAAGAACAAAAGCAACCAGTGCAGGTGTGGATGTGGGGGAAAGGGACTCTCCTTCCCTGCTGATTGGAATGCCGACTGGTTCAGCCCTTTTGAAAAAAAGTATGACTGTTTCTCAAAAAATTAGAAATTGAGCTCCCATTTTACCCAGCAAGACCACTTCTGGGAATATATCCCCATGATGCAAAAAAAGTATAGTAGAAATGACATCTGCACTTGTATGTTCATTGCAGCACTGTTTACTATAGCCAGGATCTGGAAAAAACCTGAGTGCCCGAGAACAGATGACTGACTGGTTAAAGAAACTTTGATACATCTACACAATGGAGTACTATGCAGCTGTTAGAAAAGATGAAATCATGAAATTTACAAACAAGTGGTACTACATGGAAAGTATCATGCTAAGTGAAATGAGTCAGAAAAAGAGGGACAGACATAGAAAGATTGTATTCATATGGGGAACATAAAATAACAAAATAGGAGACTAACACCCAAGAATAGTCAAGATAAGTACCAGGAGGTTTGCTCCATGGCTTGGAGGCTAGCTGCACATGCTGGGGGAATAGGCAGATCAGATAGAGAAGGGAACACCAAGTAAATGGTGTTGGAAGGATCCTTCCAGGAGGGGACATGCATGCTGAAAGTAGACTATAGACCAAACAACATGATTGCCATTCAATACCTCTATTGCAAATCACAACATCCAAAAGGAAAGAGAGAGAACAAAAGGGAATAATGCCCTGCCACAAAGGCAGGGTGGGATGGGGGGATGGCGGGAGGGATACTGGGATCATTGGTGGTAGAGAATGGGCACTGGTGGAGGGATTGGATGGTGATGGTGGAGGGATACAATACTCCATCATTGTATAACTGAAACCCAAGCACAAAAATTTGTAAGTCTACAACTGTACCGCATGGTGTTTCACTAATAAAATTTTTTTTAAAATCTAAGGGAGGGGGAAGGAGAACTGCATCAAAGAAAGAAATAAAGACTTATCATTGGCCAAAAAGAAAGAAAGAAAGGAAGGAAGGAAGGAAGGAAGGAAGGAAGGAAGGAAGGAAGGAAAGATTAGAAACAAATGTTGGCAAGGGTATGCAGATATGGGGACCATGGTACACTGTTACTGGAAATGTAAACTAATAACACCACTGTGTAAAGTAATATGGAGAAACTAAATACATATATATATGTACATATATCGCCCGCACGGCAAAGCCTGGTAAGCTACCTGTGACATATTCGATATGCCAAACACAGTAACAAGTCTCACAATGTTACTGGGCCTGTTCAAGCAAATTGATGAACAATGGGAGAACAATGACAGTGACAGATATATACACACACAATGGAGTACTATACTATTAAAAGATAAAAGGGTACTTTGGGAATAAAATAGACAAGGTAATGGGGCTGGAGAGATAGCACAGCGGGTAGGTGTTTGCCTTGCACGCAGCCGACCTGGGTTCGATTCCCAGTATCCCATATGGTCCCCTGAGCACCGCCAGGAGTAACTCCTGAGTACAGAGCCAGGAGTAACCCCTGTGCATCGCCAGGTGTGACCCAAAAAGCAAAAAAAAAAATAGACAAGGTAATTATGCTAAGTGAAAAAAGTAATGAAAGACAATAATCCAATAGTGCCACTGGTATGTGGAATGTGAATTACTAAAGCAAATAAACTGTCAAGACAACAAAACTTAATGCTTGTTTAACAAAACAAAATGCTTAGATTCAGTGAAATCTATGGTAGGTACCAGGGGGAATGGGTGGAGAACGGAGAAATGAGCAGAGATTTTTTGGCACTGGAAATTTGATGGTGGAGATAGTAACAATTACACACATAGAAAGGTGTGAAGCTAAGCCCTGAAATTTCATAATATTGCAAAGGAATGATAGGTCAACGAAAACATACAAACTAGAAATAAAAAATAAACATTCAATTAATTAAATTAGAAAATCATAAAAAAATTCCATACTTTCTCCTTGTCTAAAGAGCTCTTCTTCCTCTGGGCTTTCAAGAATTAGTGGATTTATAAATGCTGGCCTAAGGAGAAAAAAACACAAAAGAATACAGTATAACTAGTGCCATTACCTAATACAACTGGAAATAAACAATTACCTACATTTTAAAGTCTTTGCTATTTGTTTTGGCTATCACTTGCTGATTGCTTTGCTAAAGAACTCCAGAACAATTAGGAGAGGCTCTAGTTATGGATTTATCTAAACACTACAAATTTCACATTTTCAAAAACAGAATGCCAGCTGCCATAAGGCTTCATCTGATTTTAACCATGCAGAAACATCAAAAATATGTTGTAACACATTCTACAAGACAACCTGACTATATGCTTCAAAAATGTCTGTTATGAGGTGGTGGCAGGGATGCTGGGACACTTGTAGATACTTTAGAGCAATGTCCTTTATGTATAGACAGAGAAAAACAGTTAATACTATGCTTTTGTAACTTGGAGTTTGACTCCGAATAACATTTACTCCTGGCCATCTGTCATATTTACTTGATTTAGCCTCAGTTGCCCTTAGTTCCTAGTGCCCAAAGCAGAGTCCCAACGAAGGAAATTGATGGACCCAGGACAAGATGTAAGCTACCCTGACATCGAAATGAGACAGGACAAGTACCATAATACTTAACTATAAGTTAAGAGCACAGTCATGGACAAATTCTGTCATGATCCAAAGAAAAACAAATGGATAAGGACCCTGCTGGAATTAGGAAGAACTAACCTGGCCTGAGGACTGTAATTTGGTATCTGTAGAGAGATGTCCCCAGGAGTGCCACCCTATAAGTTTAATGTATCTCTTATTGTGTCCATACAAAATGACTAATATTATTAAGAAGTAGAATTAGGATGAATGTTTAATGGTTATTGGACTAAGGAAAGGAAAAATGCACCCCTAGATGGTATTTCGCCCTTAGGCAGAATGCCTTGCTGGGTGAGAATTTGTTCTAGAAGTTTCCCCTGAGGGAAGGACTTTATATGATCCATTGATTGTATAACCACACCTACATGTAATTGCTACCCCAATACCTCATGATTTTGGGCTATAACTAAGGCTGTAAGAGTGGGCATGAGGAGGAGAAATATGAAAGTGGGTGAGACTGGAAGGAGACGGGGGAGACAAGATTGGAATAAACTGTAACTGATCACCAAACAGCCAGGCCCAGGCCCACGTTTCCTCCTTCATCCACCCATTGCCATCGGCCGTCAGGGGTGAGGGAAGTAGCCCCAGACCACCATACACATATGGCAGGAGAGAGAGCTCACACCACTTTATTTATTGAATAAACAATGCAGGAGAATTATCTTATTCTGAGGAAGCTGCTTGGTGAACTACTAATGGCTGATATGTGCATACATGCGTATTGACAGAAGATGAGAGAGTAAGGCAAATGTGTTTCAATGTTGACCATTCAATTTAGCTGAAGGGTAATAAGAGTTTAGTAAATTATTCTTTCCACTTTCTGAAGGCAACAATTTTTCAAAAGGAAAAAGGAGAATGGATCATTGTGGCAGAATCCTAAGTTGTGAAGAAACAACACTGGAAACGAGGAATAGAAATAGTAGCTTGATGGGGGTATGGTACTGCCAGCAGGTCAACCTGTACCTGCAGAGCTAGTGCATCAGCAGCCTGATGGTGCCTTCAGGCTTCCTAATACCCCAAAATTGCTGCTGTGCCTTTGGCTGAACCAACAACTTGGGACCAAGTTCACCAAGAAATTAAACAGCCAAAAGTTAGGTATATGGGAGCCATGCCCACAAACCACTTCCAGCTCAGCTATACAAGCTTATTTATTGACCTTATTTCAGATACCCAAAAATAAATCTTGAAAGAGATCAAAAGTTGCAGATAATCTCAGACAAGCAGAGACACTTGTAGCTGCTTGCTCCCATAATCCAAAATCGCTGACATGCCCCTGGCCTGATTCCACCATCTCAGGATAGATCTCACCAAGCCATAATCTGCTGAAAATTCTGGTATGCGGGTTTTGTGACTGAAATCTCCAGGTTTTCGTGGAGTTGGGATGGTCTACCTCCCCCCACCTCCCTGTACTACCGGAAGCCTACCCAGTCACATTCACACCCCAAAGCGGCCACCCGGTTGAAAAGCTACTCCACCCTTACCATTTCGATAAAAATACCAAATGACCTGAAAAAACACCATGACCTCTTAGCACTTATACTGCAAACCATCATGCACAAAAGGAAAAGGAGAGAGCGAGAGCAAAAAGGAAAATGCCTCCCATAGAGGGAATCTGTGGGTGGGGTGGAGACATTGGGAGATGGTGGTAGGGAAAAAGGGGGCATTGGTGGTTAGAAATTTACACTGGTGGACAGATGGGTGCTGGATCATTGTATGACTGAAATGCAATTATGAACGGCTGTGTAATGGTCAATGGTCTATCTCATGGATATTCAATTAAAATTTTTTTAAAGTAATGTGGAGTTTTTGCCCAATTCAATCAACTTAATCAATGGCTGAATAAATAGCAGAAATCCTACATCTAAAAAAAGAGAAATAGTAGCTTAGAAAACCAGAATGTGTCAGCTGGGGGGGGGGACATTAAGTAAGACCCACAGTAATAGGCACAGAGTCCCAGGCCAGCTGCTAAGAGCAGCAGATGAGTGAGGGCTGCTGGAGAGGGAGCAGATGGATGGATTCTTCCCCCAGATCAGAATCACAAAAGGGTTCTCTAATCTTAGCTGAATTTTCCAAGTTAAGATGCAGCACAAGAGACCTTGCTGCCAGATGCCTGCCTCGAGTTTCTAATACAAATCAGGCTTCCCATAGGCCCGAGACTCTGTCTGGGCCAACAGCAAAGCTGTACCAGTCTCTCTCCATACCCATAGACAATTTGTTCCTCTCAGTTTGAAAGTCCTGTGTGTGACTTTGGTTAAGAACCAAGATTTCAAGCTAAGAACACGATAAAGCACAAACTTAAAGGACGTGAAGTCTGTGCACTTCAATTTGACAGGGAGCTCAAGATACAAACTCATAGGAAGGTTGTTGGTTTCCTTAACATACATCCTAATTCTGTTCACGGAAAGGCCTAGATTTTAGGACGAGGAACAATGTACAGGTGTAATACCCAGATTTGGGTCTCTACTAAATATCTCTAAACACCACTAAAATGATCCCTTGGAGAAATGGCCGATTCCAGGCCTTGAGCAGGAAACCTATAGGAGGAGCCCAAGATATCTTATTGCAGCAGAGAGAGAAGAAATGTCAAAAGAGTTTATCACAGGAGCCAGCTTAAAGCAGCATCTCGGACCAAAGATGGCAAACTTGAAGCATGCAGAAGAACAATGGCTACATATACTAGGTGCACTTCCCACATTACAATCCACGAGTTCACAGCTTTTTTTTCAAAAACCGAAAGAAACAGAAAAACCATCCCATCACTAATTAATAAATTCATCACCCGAAATATCTAAGTAAAGGGCAATCAAACACCAATCCTGACTTACATTTGCAGGATTGAGGGGGCGCTCTGGGGGCCTCCCAAGTGGTGCTCAGGACAACTGGTGATTCTTAGCCAACTGGACTGCACAGTTAATGTTAGGGTTGAGGATACAGTGCTTCTCAGGCTTTGTGGAGCTTGAAATAGCCTCAAAGTGTTTGTTTGGGAATTCACCATGGCCAGTGTACATCCTAATCTCTGTGCTATCTCCCTGGCCCTAGATTCCAACTTATATTTAACAAATCTAATGGCCCTACTTAGCAAGAAAAAGTGCTTCTTTACAAAATTTATATAGGGGGCAGAGAGATAGAACAGCATTTAGGGTGCTTGCCGTGCATACGGCATACCGGCTTCAATCCCTGACATCCTGTATGGTCCTCTGTGCCCTGCTGGAAGCAACACCTGTGTACAGAGACAAGAGTAAACCCTGAGCACAGCCGAGTATTGTCCAAAAGAAAATAAACAAACTAAAATCAACTGCAAATAAATGTGATGGATGGGGGCTGGAGAGATGGCACAGCGGGTAGGGCGTTTGCCTTGCACGCGGCCGACCGGGTTCAATTCCCAGCATCCCATATGGTCCCCTGAGCACTGCCAGGGGTAACTCCTGAGTGCAGAGCCAGGAGTAACCCCTGTGCATCGCCGGGTGTGACCCAAAAAGCAAAAAAAAAAAAAATAAAATAAAATAAATGTGATGAATGGCAGAATTCTGTTTGTCTGCCTGTTTGGAATAACACAATTTAGGAAGTTTTGAACTCGCCAATGAAAATAATTAAGCAATTGTCAGCATTGACAAGTGCTAGAGAATGATGATGGGAAAATTCTCAAGTGTACTATAGAAACTCTATTGCTGATCCTGAGAGGATAAAAGGTAAAGGTAAAGGCCCTCCCGTTGATCATCGATTTGCTCGAGCGGGCCCAGTAACGTCTCCATTGGAGACTTTGTTGTTACTGTGTTTGGCATATCGAATACTCTCGGTAGCTTGCCGGGCTCTCCGAGAGGGGCGGAGGAATCGAACTCGGGTCGGCCATGTTGACCGCTTGTAAGGCGAACGCCCTACCGCTGTGCTATGGCTCCAGATCCTGAGAGGATAAATGGAACTAGACAATGAGAAGGTTACATGGTCACTAGAACCCACGCATCATTCTGGGAGACAATCTATATGCCCCGATAGCATGTAACACTGATTATAATATGACACATATGTAGCATTACCCATATGTACTCTTGCCTAATAGGTTGAACTTGAATCTAATCAATTTTGCAGCTTCAGAAATTTATGTGGTCAGAGAATCATCCACAAAACCATCATGAGGAGGCTGAAATGATATACAGCAGGTAGGGGGCACTTTCCTTGCACACAAGCCCCACCAGGAGTGATCCCTGAGTACAGAGCCAGGAGTCCTGAACACTGCTGAGTGTGGCCCCAAAACAACATTGTGAGGTAACAAGGAGGCAAATCTAGAAAATAGGACACTACAGAGAACCTATCTAGTCTTTCAATGGGTCAAGGAAACGAAGGAGGCAGTGTAGCACTGTAGCACTGTCCTCCCATTGTTCATCGATTTGCTCAAGTGGGCCCAGTAACGTCTCCATTGTGAGACTTCTGTTACTGTGCTTAGCATATCAAATACGTCATGAGTAGCTTGCCAGCCTTTGCCGTGCGGGCGAGATACTCTCGGTAGCTTGCCAGGCTCTCCAAGAGGGGCGGAAGAATCGAACATGGCTCGGACAGGTTGGCCACATGCAAGGCAAACGCCCTACCGCTGTGCTATAGCTCCAGCCCAAACACTGTCCTCCTGTTGTTCATAGATTTGCTCAAGCGAGCCCAGTAACATCTCCATTTTGAGACTTGTTGTTACTGTGTTTGGCATATTGAATACGTCACAGGTAGCTTGCCAGGCTTTGCCGTGCAGGTGAGATACTCTCACTACCTTGCCAGGCTCTCCAAGAATGTGGAGGAATCGAACCCGGCTCAGCCAGGTTGGCTTCATGCAAGGCAAATGCCCTACCACTGTGCTATCGCTCCATCCCAAGGCGGCAGTGTGGACACAACAATTCTGTACCAAACATGACTTAAGAGACCACATTACTCTGTACATTCACTAAATGCTAATCAACGATACGCTTTAATGAGAGCCATATAGCCTGTGAATTATATCTCAACAAAGTTGTTGAGATACAACAAAACATATCCAAACTTCAGAGACATAGAAATGTAATGCGATACAGGGATCTTGTTTGAATTCTGACTTGAACTTATTCAAAAGATATCTGGAGGGGCTGGAGCAATAGCACAGGTAGGGTGTTTGCCTTGCATGCCTTGCATGCAACTGACCTGGGTTCGATTCCCACCACCCCATGTGGTCCCCTGAGCACCGCAAACATTTTTATGAAAAACTCATATAAGCTGAGTATATGAATATATTATGGAGTCTTTTATTTTGTGCATGACAGTGGTACTATAATTCTTTAAGAAAATGTACTAATTTTAAAGAAATGAGTATCTGAGCTAAGTGTAAGACTCTACCAGTTTGTGGACATGGCCATGAAACAGATATCTCAGGACCTTAGGAAACCTTTACTCCCTGTTACAAACAAAAAAGAACTGACTTTCTGACCATATCTACAGGTGATATATCATTATATTTGGAGTTTATTTTAAGTGATTATAAAAGTAAATATAACAACCACATGAAGTAAATATTGAAAAGATGTGAAACCATCAAGTCTAGTTAATGTAAATACGGAGATTTATGACAATCCTTTTCGGATTCATGTATGATTTTTATTTATTTTGGAGACAGTACCAGGGCCACACACATCAAGGTAGAAGAACTATTGCTGAGCTATATTCCCAGCCCATACCTTTGAATTTTTTAAATAAAGGGGCAAGGGTAAGGGGGCTTGAGTACATCATTTGTGTAGAGGTATAGTATATGTATATACCCAATCAGAGAGTCAACAACAAGTATGAAACCCAAACTATAACAACCACACTTAAAAATGTGCCTGTCAAGGGGCCAAGATAGGGGTGGGAGGGAACTTGAGAACATCAGGGGAGATAAATTAACACTGCTGGAGGGATTGGTGTTGGAATACTACATCTCTGAAACTCTACTATGAACATTTTGCAAATAGTAGTATATTAATAAAAAGTTTTAAACAAGTGGCTTTTGCAAACCATAACACCCAAAGAGAGTAAGAGATGGAATGTGCCTGCCACAGAGGCAGGGAGTGGGAAGGGGTAGGGGTGGCAGGAGGGATACTGGGAACATTGGTGGTGGAGAATGGGCACTGGTGGAAGGATGGGTACTCAATCATTCATTGTATGACTGAAACGTAATCACGCAAGTTTGTAAGTCTGTAACTGTATCTCATGGTGATTCATTAAAATAAAAAAAGAAGGAAAAAAAGATAAAATGTCTGCAAGTAGCACTGGGGTGTTCAAGTTTAAATTATTGTCTGAGAGTCACACCCATGTCTCACCACCACTGCCATGTAAGCTCATCAACTGGCCTGTACCTGACACTCATAATTAAATCTCAAAAGAGATGAAACAGCCAAGAAAATTTTTTGAATACATGAGTCCCAGCTGAGACCTCCAGGGCAATCTCCGGAAGAGGAGTTCCCACCCTGCAGAAGCCCCAGCAGCCACACTCACACCTCAATAGCTGCACCATGCCTATGGCCGCACTCCACTGCCTCATAACTGAGCTCCACAGAGATGTCAAACTGCTAAAAATTTCAGGTATAACAAGATTGTTTTGGCTGAAAACTCCAGGCCTTCTTGGAACTGGATGGGCAACCTCCTCACACCTTCCTGTACTCCCAGAAGCAGTCACACCCATGCTCCCCCTCCCCACCATGCAAGCTCACTGTCCAGTTAAATATTCTGGATTTTCTGGACATCACCAAATTCTACAATACTAACATCCCAGTAGGAGCACACCAGATTGGATGGGAATGTAAGGTAGATGCCAACTAAGCTCGACTAACAAAAACATTAAAACAGAAGGATTAACTAGCAATAACAATTTAGTAGACCCTCAGGCAGGGACTTAATGTCCCCATGGTGAGATACAACAGTTTTCACAAATTTTCTTTTACTGAAGTTATTTTTTAATCATTCTATTAGCCATTTAGTGGTAATAAGCACTACAAAATAAATGTTTGCGGACCTGCTTGGGGGGCAGGCTTCACAGGTGGGTGGGAAAATGGAGACAATGGTGGAAGGAAGGTGACAGTGGTGGTGGGATTGTTGTTGGAATATTAAATGCCTGTAAAAATAATCATGAACCACAGTTGTTTAAATGAAGAGGGAAAAATAATAAAAATAATTATCTGAATTATGGGCTGGAGCGATAGCACAGTGGGCAGGGTGTTTGCCTTGCACATGGCTGACCTGGGTTTGATTCCTCCACCCCTCTTGGAGAGCCCAGCAAGCTACCAAGAGTATCTCACCCACATGGCAAAGCCTGGCAAGCTCCTCGTGATGTATTCAATATGCCAAACACAGTAACAACAAGTCTCACAATTTGTTGTGAGATGTTACTGGTGCCCGCTCGAGCAAATCGATGAACATCGGGAGTGCAGTGCAGTGCACCTGAATAATAATTAACATTTGAATAAAAGTAAGAAAGAATTTTTACTCCTCTAAAAAAGAATTATAAAAGGACTAAGCAGATATCTCAAAGGTATGAAGCATATGTCTTTTTGAGTAAGACCCTGAGTTTTATCCCTGTAACTTCCTAATATCCTCCCCCCTATAGCACCACTAGATATGACCCTTCAAGGCCCAGCACCAATGGGTCCAAGCACCTAAACATTAGCTATGATATTACGAGGTCAAGTATCACCAAGTAACCCTTGGGATCCTGAGCATGGATGGAAAAGCTCCACCACCCAAAATAATTCAGCTAAAATAGCAATTACCCTTTGTTGTCAGAATCACGAGCCACCATTACAAATGTTGCTTCCAAAACAGGCAAAAACTGATTGTCATGAAACTGAAAAGAAAAAGAAAGTGCACATGTTAAAAGACCGTTGACTAAAAGCCTACTATAAATTTAACCAAATGCTATTATGCATGCTTTGAGAAAGGTTAATATTAGAAAAAGAAAAGTTCATTCTTTTATTCCTGTGGTATAGGAAATCTACTCCAGGGCCTCATGCATGCTAAGAATGCACTTTACAAGAGCCACACCCAGAAGCACCATATGCTGAGAGTCCTATGCTTATCCAGGCACAGAACAAAGCTGTGGAGTAACAGCCTGTGATATAGCAGAGGAGACTCGCAAATAGAGCACATGTGAGAAGAGCTGGCAAGGGCACAAATGATCATCTTTGGAGCCCTGTACAAACGGGACCCAAGGAGAGGGTCACAAGGGATTTCTACATTGTCATCATTCTTGAGGGGGGTGTACATGCCCCCAGTTCTCAAGATCAGGAGCCTGACAGGAGATAGGCCACAACAACGTGGTGCTGCTCATGCCTCACAGTTCTGGGGTTCATGAGGATCACACCTGGTGGTGTTCACTGGCCTTGCAAGGCACGAACACCAACTCTGAATTATCTCTATGGTCTCTGCCTCATAACCACTTAATGCCCTGCAGAATGATCGAATCTGGTTGTCCAGAAACTCTGAGCATGTTCACAAAGACTGGCAGATAGGAAGACGAGGAGATCTACTTCTGTTCACACAGCCATTGGCAATTGCAAGAAGCTTTAGTGTGCCAACTACCAGCACTTGTTTGAGTTTCTCCTGCTGAGCACATGACCGCCCCAGAAAGGTAATAGGAAGACAAATTCTATGGATTAAGATCAAGATTTACCATGCACAGGCTTTGAGATTCTGAGATCTTTCTTTAAACACTACAGGCTGGTCCTTCTAGGATAGTACTATGACAACCTGAGAATGTATTAGGGTTCCCCTTCAACAAACCTCCCCCTGAGTTCTTGTTCCTACTGCCTGCTCAGGCTCTTAGCACCTGCCCCCTTGGCTTTCTCCCAGCATCCTAACAAAGCCACTGGCGCTGTATATGAAGCCTTCAACAGTATATGCCAGATTCCTCTTCAGCTGTTCATCAAAAACTCTTCACATACCTATACTCTAACCACAATGCCAACAGTGCCCCTGAAGAAAAATATAGCATGGTCTTCAGTATACTCCCATATACTCTATTATCATAGAGTATACTCTATCATAAACATCTGGTGGAACCTACCAAACAGAGCTGGGGGGATGGCTGGAGTCACTCTCAGTGATAGCCAGCCCTGATGCACAGGCCAGGTTGTCCACAGCAACGCAGTGCTATCAGGGCCCAGAAATACTGGGAGCACCCAGGACCACATCTGGTGATGCTCAGTCAGGGGGAGTCACGCAGTGCTGAGAATCAAACTTGGGACCTTGTGCATATAACATATGAATACCAGTCCTGGAAGTTGTCTCCTTGGGCCTGTAATTATTTATTTATGTGACTTCTACCCATGATACTGTGACCACCTATCGAACCAAGACAATTTTTCCCGTTAGCATACAAAATTAATTGTCAGTGAGCAAATAAGTCAGGTAAGAAAATAACACAGTTAGATGCAAATCCAAATGGATAGGACGTCCTGAGTTTTTCTCACTGCCATATAGCTAGTACACAATAATGCGTGCTCAGTAAAAAAAGATGGCTAAGAGAACATTAATGAACAGATGCCAGGAAGTATGTCTAGGTGACTCACACCCGGATGCAGTTGTTGAAGAGCAGAGACTCCCTGGAAGAGAAAAGACAGGTTTGTATGCTGCTCTTTGAAGCACAGGTGCTGGGAGAGAGGGTCAGAGAAAGGCTGCTGAGGAAGGAGCTCTGGAGAAGGAAAAGATACCATGAGCTGGGAGGAAGGGGAAGAACTCAAGCAAGAAAGAACCTGAAAGCATAGAAGGAATTTGGGTACAGAGAGGCAGAACACAGGGATTAGGGCAATGGAAAAAGCAGGAGGAATGACAACCTTCCATTCAGGAATGAAAGATATCACTTCATATACAAGCCATTATCGACATGGCCAATGAGAAATGTACAACTAAAACAGTAAATGTTTATACTTGTCTGACAATGAATTTCATTCCTTTCTCCCCACATTAGTTCCTGGATTTTAACATATATGCCCAATATTTAAATTGACAAGAATTCCAAGAAAGCAGGTCCAATACCAGGACCATGCAATTCTAAATGTGGCAGGCTAGGAATCAACTGTGTAGATCCAAAAAGAATGTGGACAAGTCACAGAAACATGACCCAAAACAGTATTTTTGGAAAGTATTACTGTGACTGGAGATGTGGCGCAACTACAATGCAACTGCATTACATGTGCAAGGTCCTGGTCTAATCCCTAGCACCACAGGGTGTCCTGAGGATGGCGGCGTGACATATGGACCATCATGCATTTTGACAATGGCCCTGGTTGCCCAAAAGCACAAAGATTGCCTCTGAGCCACCAAGCAATGCCAGTTATACACCCCCCCAACAATGAAAACAAGTTTTACTTTCAGTTACAGCAAGATGGGAGTCCAAAGATAATAATTGAAGTTGCTAGCCTATAATTGTTCCCCTCTTATAGACTGCTGCTGTAGACTTTTGCCAGAAGGTAAAAAGCTTCATAATTTTATAACAAAATAGTATGTAAAAAAAAACTAACATAGGTCATTCTAAAACACTTTTCCCAATAAAATTTGGAACAGATTCAGAATTATTTCATTTTTGTGCTATGATTTCACTGAGCTATATTTTCTTGTCAAATTTCATTAGTTAAGAAAATAATGGCCATTCTAAGTTTTGCTCATTAGAGCCACTGTTCTCAATTTCTGAGAGAGGTCTAAGTGAATGTTAGGGGTTGAAAATGTCCCCCCCAAAAATTTTCTGAAGTCTGAAGCCTTGTGAGCTGCAAATATGAGTATTTGAAAAGAGGGTCACAGCAGGCATGACCAGAGGGCAGGCGGTCCTACAAGAGTGTAAGGAACCTTGAAGACGGTGTGACTGGTGTCCTGAGAAAAGGAGAAGCAACACAAAGACATGGTCACATGAGGGAGAAAGCCATGTGACAACACAGGGAGAGACTCAAGTGACAACACAGGGAGAGACTGAAGTGCTCCAGCATCAAGTCAAGGAACGCCAAGGGCAGCCAGAAAACCACCAGAAGCTAGAAAGAAGCAAGGAATAATCCTCTCCATGGCTTCCAAGGCATGTGGTCCTGCAAGACCTTGATCTTGGACTTCTTGTCATCAAACCATGGATAGCTTGGGGCTCTTGTTCCAGCGACCACGATGCAGTTCTAACTTGCAGCAGCCCAATGGAACTGTAAGTGACCAATCCCCAATCCCATTCATACCTAGCATACTTCGACTTTTCATGAAAGTCTTAGGCAAAACCAGAAACAAGCACCTTAGTATGTATGTATATATACATATATATATATATATTCAAAACATAAACATCAAATAAAGGAGTTGCCCTGAAGGAGTTTATCAATAATCTCACATCGATGAGATGGATTTCATTTTGGTGCAAATGTTTGGGCCGCACATGGGGTTTTCTGGGATCATGCAGCGACACCAGGATTGAACTCTTGACCGTACAGTTATCAGAAGGCTGCTGAAGGGACTGATTCAGCTCCAGGTCCTTTTCCACCAGAAATTTCAAAGATCTGAGCTATCAGAATGGTCTAAGAGCCTTTGGATGGCACCAGGGTTTTGAACTTGTAGCCCCATATTTGTCTGGAACTTCCTTTAAACCACTGAGCCAACTTCCTGGCCCCACTTTAATTTTCCATTGCACTTCTACAAGCAGAGGACTGTATGCCTGCCTATAGTAGGCAGGTAATTATATTGTTCCTTCACTGTGAACAAGCTGGGTGTACACCTGACAAGTGGTCACTCTGGCATATACTCACCTGAAACATCCGCATCTTCACTTCCATGGATGTCTTACCGACCCAGCTAACGTGGCCAGTAAGCTTGATGTCCTGCTCTGGGCTTAAGCTCTTCTTACGCATATCTGCCAGAACAGAAAATGAAACTGCATCTAAACAATCCCAAAATTAATTCTGTACTCGAAGCGCACAACCTCATTTACATTTATGGCACACTCCATATATAACTGTCTTGAAAAATGCATTTTGCCATACAAAACAAATGCACCTATATCTTGAAGAAAGGCACTCAAGGCAAAGAAAATATAAATATGAAACTATGCAAACTCACACAATGAATGTTATAATTTTTTGGTAAACAGTATTAAATATATTATACATTCATATATACACAAAAATTTCCATAAGAAAAATATTTTTTCTAATCTCAATCATAAATTGCAAATAATAAGAATTTAAAACATGCATGAAAAATAATACTGCCTGGAGACTAGTGATGTAGTTTAGCAGTAAAGTATTTTGCTGCTTGTTTGTAACCCTGGATTAGATCCCCAACATTGCTACATAAATAATGACATTGCTTACCAATTTTGTCCACCAGGGCTGTGACTATTGATAAAGGGGACATCTTAGCTGCTTCAATTTTGGTATGTGTGTAGCAAACAAGAACTAAAAGAAAACAGAAGAAGGGAAAGGAAAGGAAAAGTAAAATGTTTCTTATACTGAAAATGTATTCCCTGAAATCCACAGAAAGTTATAACTCCTGTTTTAAAAATCCAATTCTACCTGCAATGAGTTTCAATCATTATTTATCCTAGGAAAACTGACTTCTACACATGTAAGTAATTTAAAATGATTCTTTATATCACTATCCACTATTTCAGACTTGAGCAGGAAGCCAAACCCACAAGGTCGGGTCCCTAAGTGGCTTGTCACGACTTCACAGAGACTCAATACCTAAATTAAAAAAAAAGAACCCCATCCACCTCTGATTGCCAAAGCTCTTCAGAAAAGAGAAGCTAATCACAAGAAACAAATCAGTTAGCTCCTTTCTACCTCACTCTCTTCTAATCATGGAGAAATTATTGTGTTCAAAGTTAGCCCTCCTTTACCCAAAAACTTCAGTTCTCGCTTCCACATTTTCAGACCTTATGTGTGCCAAATATAGTTCTTTTTTGTTGTTGTTTTCGGTTTTGGGGTCACACTCATTATTGCTAGGGGATTACTCCTGGCTCTGTGCTCAGAAGTCACTCGTGGCAGTGCTCAGAGGACCATATGTGGTACAAAGGATAGAATCTGGCTCAGATCCATGGAAGGCAAGCCTCCTACTTACAGTACTTTTGCTTTGGCCCTAGTTTTCATTTTTTGTTACATGGACTTACTTAAGTCGTACTTCTGTGTTTAGTGGCCTCACTGCTTCTCCCACAGTCCTGTTATCTGCACCATCAGCACTCAGGACAGGGGAACACTCACAAAATATCTGCTGAATGACAAAAGATCCTCTATTCACACACCTGCTAAAGGACAGACTGCAGTTGGAACCAGAGCAATACAATCCATTCAAAAGCCTATCTGGTACACAGAGGTCTTATCAGTCTGACTGATGGCGATATTAGTGAAAATGGAGACCCAAGGGTAGATTTCACGGGATCAGAATAAACTCAGGTTCTAGCTGCCATTCACTGAAAAAGAGAACACTTCAGTGACTAAAAGATGGGATTTTTTTCACCATAGCACACTGTGAAAATGAAGATGCCCACTAGCCAGGACAAAAACCAGCCTTCAGATCAGAATCACACATGAGAAACTAGTAGTTTCCTAAGTAAGCCATAAGCTTCCCGAGTAATCCAGAGACTGATAGCAACTGATACACTGGGAGTAGATGCAAGGACTTAGAGAGAATGTGTAGGTAACAACCAAAGGGGCAGAGACCCAAGGGTGAACTGAGCTGTCTGGGATGAAGAAAGAGGAACTGAAAAATGAGACCAAAAGGAGCAGTCAGAGAGGCAGGAGGAAATGGTGCCAAAGCCCAAGGGTATTCTCTACAAAATCACCAGCTGCAAAGGATTAGGGTGTTACCGGGTGTTACCCATTCACTGAGAACCACCCTTATCTCAGGTGCTGAGGAAGCCAGTGGTGAGCTTTGCAGGTGCCTTTTCAGTCGCATAGAGAAGCCAGAACATAGCAGGGAAGTGCCAAGCCAGGTCCAGGGACAATGAAAGCAAATCAGTTTGTCCAGTTCTTTCCAGAATTGTAGATTGGAAGTGAGAGAGAAAAACAGTTTGAGGAGAATAAAAGACAATGGGATTTTACCTACAGCTGAGTTTAGGATAAAATAGCCATAACTATAAATTGAAGGGAAATAAGTTGAGAAGAGTTGAGAAATGAAAGAGAAGGCATAGTTGATAAGACAAACTCCTTGAAGAAGCAGAAGGAACAGAACCAAGTGCAAAATAAAGGGACTGACTATTAACAGACGTGATGAGGGGGAAATGGAGCAGTGGCAGGGTGCTTGTAATTAAGGGACAACTAAGCAAACCAATGTCCAGTGAGTGTGTAGAAACACGCAATATTTTTGAGAAATGTATTGAGGCAACAAGAGTCCTAACAGTGTTATTTTTAATGGTTTAGGCATAAATGTCACCGTAGCACACCCACATCAAAGGGCCAATATCCCTCCACCACTGCCTTCTGGTCCCTTCTCATCCATCCCTCCCCATTTACCACACCCCTCTCAATTTGGTAATCCCTGCTGTTTGCAGAATCTCAGGATTTTTCTGCATTGGCCACCTATGCCTTTGCACTGTTTCTCCTCGATATAGAAGTTTCTTTAAAGACCATTTTATTTTAACCATGTTTATTTAATCTGGAGGGAAAGTTGTGGGGTATGGGCCTAAACAATGGGTTTAGAGAGCATCTTGAACCCCTTTCCCAACAGTTCTATTCAAAGCTCAACAGGTAGGAGCAAGATAGAGAGCTAGGTAGGGGGAAGAGAATGCGCAGAAAGACAGGCCAATACCAGGGAGCATGATACAGCGTGAGTTCAATGAGGAGGGTGAACGCAGATGAGCCCTCTATGGAGTAGAACCCCAGGCATGGCTCTGATGAAACTAGAGCATCGCCAACTCCACTGGGTGAAGAAGCATCTCATTGCCAGGCTGCAGAATTTAACTGTCTGACCTAGTTGGCCGAATATTGCCTGACATGGCGCCTAGACCCCCGGCACAGTTTGGAGGAATCTCGGCACACCAAAAAAAACGAAACAAAATAAAACAACATAAAGCAAAAAAAATAGGGCTCTTTAAAGACGTGGCTGGTTTCAAAGAGTAAGAGTGACATAAAAATTATAGGTTAAAAAACAACAACAGGGGCTGGAGCAATAGCACAGCGGGTAGGGCCTTTGCCTTGCACGCGGCCGACCTGGGTTCGATTCCCAGCATCCCATATGGTCCCCTGAGCACCGCCAGGAGTAACACCTGAGTGCAGAGCCAGGAGTAACCCCTGTGCATCGCCAGGTGTGACCCAAAAAGCAAAAAAAAAAACCCAAAAAAAAACACAACAACAACAACAAAAACTATAGGAACACATTTTTAAAAGCTCCACAGGAGCCAACTAAAATATCTATGACAGTTCTGGGACAATTAAAGCATCAAAATAAATGGTAGTAACATATTATGACACCATGGATCAAACAGAATTTCTGAGTGCACACCAATTGAAAGTAAGTAAGCAGGGGCTGGAGCAATAGCACAGCAGGTAGGGCGTTTGCCTTGCACGCAGCCGACCTAGGTTTGATTCCCAGCATCCCACATGGTCCCCCGAGCACCGCCAGGAGTAAATCCTGAGTGCATGAACCAGGAGTAACTCCTGTGCATCACCGGGTGTTACCCAAAAAGCAAAGAAAAAAAGTAACTAAGCAGGCAATATAATTCAGTGCTAGAGCAAATACCTCACATGTATGACCTGGGTTTCATACATACTACCACAAAAATAAAATTAATAAACAGAAAATCTGATAAAGAATGGAATATTTCACTGAGTTTCAAAATACCTCCCCTGAAGTACTGCAAAGGAGAGAAACTTTATAGTGGAAAAGTATTGCAGACACTGCCTTCTCCTGAATGTCACAATATCACAGTGAATCTCACAGCAACTTAACAAACTAAACTTACAAACCACTTGCCAGCATTCAGTAAGAACACAGTATCCCTTCTCTGGCTTTCCTGAAAAAGATACATGTCCTGAATCTAATCATGGAGAAGCATCGAACATACCCAAGGTGAAGGAATTCCACAAACAAACCAAACCTAGTCTATAGTGTTGAATAGTGTCAAGATCTAAAAGCTAAGCAAAGACTGAGGAATATTCCTGTCAGGAAATCTTCACACAATGTGACAAGAACTCCATTATTCTGCTAGGAAAGAACACTGGCAACAGTTGAACAGAGTCTGAGGATTAGCATTTCGACACACCAGTGTTATTTCCCTCATTTTGATGGTTGTATTGATATTACGTAGAATGTCCTTATTTATAGGAGAGCTCTATGAAAATAGTGAGGGTGACATGCATCATTTCAACAACGTAATCTATCGTTATTCAGTCTTCCCTAAAATATGGGGAAATGGTTATTTTCTTCTATTTGCATCTTTCCTACTAGACTTTTACAAGTACTACTCAGGGGGCTGGAGCGATAGCACAGCAGGTAGCACGTTTATGTTGCACGTGGCTGACCCGGGTTCGATTCCCAGCATCCCATATTGTCCCCCTTAGCATCACCAGGAGTAATTCCTGTGCAGAGAGTCAAGAGTACCCCTGTGCATCTCCAGGTGTGACCCAAAAAGCAAAAAAAAAAAATAAGTACTGATCAGCAATGGGTACACTGATGATGAGTATGTTATTAGAATATGTACACAGGAAACTATCATTAACAATAACATAAATCACAATACTTCAGTCAATTTAAATAATAATAATTAATAAAAGTATTAATCAGATTGTAACTCCTTTCTATAAGAATCTACATTTTCAGGAATAAATTGTAACAATTAAGAAGCAGACACCCATCTTTTTCTGCCCTTCTCAATACAGAGCCAGAAATAAGCACCACCAGGTATGGCTCAAAAACAAAAGAAAACAAAAGAATAAAGGCTCTTGGACCAGAGAAGTCATTTTAATGAAAGTGGAATGCCCTGAGATCAATCTGCAGTACTGTGTGCTCCCTTTCCCAGCACTGCTGGATGGAGCTCAGGACCTCTGGCACCACCAGTTGTGGGCCTAGAAAATAAAAATAATAAAGGCCCGTTCTGGCCACAGAATTCATTTAATAGCCATAATTATCTAGTTTGGAATATTAAAATAATACCAATACCTCCTAAGCTGTCAAGGTCCTCAAGAATTCTGCCAAATCTGTGAAGTAAAGAGAACTATGATTAAATGAAAATCACGACCTCCACTAAAGAATAAGTGACACACACTGAAGTGATGAAAACATTCTCGTGTTGATAGTTGTGCAACTCTCCACATAGACTAAAAACCATGGAAAGGTAAAGGTAAAGGTAAAGGCCCTCCTGTCGATCGTCGATTTGCTCGAGCGGGCCCAGTAACGTCTCCATTGGAGACTTTGTTGTTACTGTGTTTGGCATATCGAATACGTCATGGGTGGCTTGCCAGGCTCTGCCGTGTGGGCGAGATACTCTCGGTAGCTGACCGGGTTCTCCGAGAGGGGCGGAGGAATCGAACTCGGGTCGGCCATGTTTGCCGCTTGTAAGGTGAACGCCCTACCCGCTGTGCTATCGCTCCAGCCCATGGAAGTGCACTTTAATTAGGAGAACATTATGGTATGTGAACTACATCATAGGTCATAATGAGGAAAAGAACAAATGAAGTAAGTAAAATGATGCTGGATTACCTCACGGTGTTTTTAACAGTCAGATATTTCTCCCGCAAGTCAGGCTGAGTGCCCAAAGGCAGGAGAACTTCGATGTAACTGTCTTTCATTCTCCTAGGTGGCAGTTGTTCCTGTGACTCAGCTAAAAAACTACGGAGTAATTTTCTTTCCTCCATTGCTCTCACGTGGTCTCTGAGAAGAAAGCAGGCAAGCTTTGTGAAACACAGGAGCAGGGCTATCCTGAACCTCAGCACAAGCCAGTAAGACACCTCTATCGGAGGAAAGAGGTTTGTACCCACTTCATCTCCCCTCCGTTCCCTGCCTTAAAAGGAGACAGACATGACTATGGTATTCTAGATCAGGGGAAACTAAAGAATCCTAACTACCAATTCATTATGCAATCTTAATTCTTAATTCATTTGTTGTTGTTTTGGGGGATCATACCCAGTGGTACTCAGGGCTTAATCCCAGTTCAGTGCTCAAGGGTGACTCCCGTCAGGGCACAGGGACCATGAATCAAACCTGGTTGGCTGCATGTAAAGCAAGCACCTTGCCCGGTATACTATATCTCAGCCCCTTAATATACAATCTTTTAATGCATCTTGACTTTTTTTCAGGAGGCTGACCAAGCAGCACTTGGGGTATATGGGGTCCACTCCCAGCAATACTCAGCCAGCTGCCAGTCAAATCCGTAGTGCTGGAGGCAATAAGGCCTCTTAAGTAGTACTTGGGGAACCATGCAGTGCAGGGAATTGAACCTGGGGCCTACACATGGCAGGGCATATGCTCCAGCCCTTTTAGCTATCTCCCTAGCCATGAGCCATGATGGTTTTTAAAGTTATAAAAGATATCTGGAGAAATATCTAGAGAATTTTGAACATGAATGAGCATTATACTATTAGGAGATTACTACCAATTTCATCATGTAATAAAATTGCTGAAGGTGACTAGAGAGATGATCCAAAGGGCTAGAGCATTGGCTTTGCATGCAAGAACAACATATTGGATCCCCAGAACCATCTGATACTCTGAGCATTTCACTGAGTGTACCTCCTCCCCCCTCAAAAAAAAAAAAGAATGACTTGGCTAGTTCGCTGGACATACACAAATAGTTTTGTTACATAGTAGGATTTATTTATTGAGGTATCAAGATACCTATTATTTAATTATAAATAGTTTAGCTGACATATATGTTTTTATAGGGGGTGGACAGTGCTGGTGATCAAACCAAAGGACACCATAGATGAGAGGCAAGTGCTTTACAACTGAGCCACATCTCTAGTCCTTCCAATATGCTTTTATTGGCAACTCAGGCAAGATGTTAAGAAGTATCAGTCAAGGGAGATGGTAGAGCAAGTAAGATGCTTGCCTTGCATGCAGCTGACCTGGGTTCAAAGTCCCCTGAGCACCACCAGGAGTGATCCTTGAGCACAGAATCAAAAGTAAGCCCTGAGCACTAGGACTATGCCCCCCTCATAAAGCATGACATCTGACATTCAATGCATTAACATTCATTCTTTCTTCTTTTCATTAAATTAATTTTTTTAAATTTCATTCTTACTGAGATATAATCAATACAAAACCATGTAAACTAAAGGTATATATCATGCTCACTTGATCCCATTATACATATGCTGCAAATTCTTCATATACAGAGGTAAAAAAATCTTTAGAGGACTGGAAAGATAGCCCAACAGGATGGAGCTCATGCTTTCCATTTAGGAGGCCTGGATAAGATTCCCAGCAGGGGCTGGAGCAATAGCACAGCGGGTAGGACATTTCATTGCATGTGACCGACCCGGGTTCGATACCCAGCATCCTATATGGTCCCCTGAGCACCACTAGGAGTAATTCCTGAGTGCATGAGCCAGGAGTAACCCCTGTGCATTGCCGGGTGTGACTCAAAAAGAAAAAAAATGATTCCCACCATTGCATGGTTTCCTAAGCACCAGGAATAACACCTGATCACAGAGCTAAAAGAAGCCCCCAAACACCACTAGATGTGATCCAAAAAACAAAAGGCATTAGACTATTTTTTATCAACATAGATTACTATTATAGCTATTAATCACTCCAAGTTTTTGGTTTTTTTCTCATTTTAACTTCAGAATTTTCATACCAAGAGGGATATTAATTTATCTTATTTTACATCAGGGAAACACTGAAAAGGAAAACTCTAAGAGAGACCAGATTAATTACGTAGTGACAAGCAAGAAAGGGAGTGGCCTGAGTAAAACAGAAATCCAGGGTCTTGGGTTCAAGTCTCAAGCTCTAATACTTAATTGTTCAATCTCCTTAGGTGTCAGTTTCATCAAACATATAAAGAGTATAGAAACATAAGTCATCGGCATACCTTAGGTTTCACTGAAAGTCAGTGAGGTAATCTATCAGGGTGCACTCTGAAAAATCTAAATTACATACTAAGGTAAAAGGTAAAGGCCCTCCCGTTGATCGTCGATTTGCTCGAGCGGGCCCAGTAACGTCTCCATTGGAGACTTTGTTGTTACTGTGTCTGGCATATCGAATACTCTCAGTAGCTTGCCGGGCTCTCCGAGAGGGGCGGAGGAATCGAACTCGGGTCGACCATGTTGGCCGCTTGTAAGGCAAACGCCCTACCCGCTGTGCTATCGCTCCAGCCCTTAGCCATGTCATTTTATAGCATGGTATATATCAGTTCAATGAGTGAACTGATAAACTTGTATTACTGATTTTCTTCAAATTAAAAACATCAACCCATTCATAAACAGTCCCCCACATCTCTACAACATGACTGACCTAAATACAGCCTAGTACTTTAGGGATGGAAAAATGAATGAATCAAAGAGTGCATACTGATAGTTAGTGGACACTCCTACTATCTCCCGCAACTTAGCACGAACTGGAAAAAAAAAAAAGAAACAAAGAGGTTATTTCATGAGACAAAAAATATGAGAACTGGATAATGCAAACAGTTCAAGAACTATGAAAGCAAGTCATGCACTCAAAAGCTTTAAAGCCCCATGATTTTACAGTTAACGTCACGCAAACAGCTCAGGAAAACTATCGGGCCTCTGATTCCTGAAAGCACAACATTAACTATTGCCCAGTACAGAAAAGAAGGCACATGTCCATCATTGGTGTTTATATAAACAAAAGGATACTAATAATTCATTGAATGGGGTTGTATTAGTAACTGCAGATGAGGGGATTCCTTCATGATGGAGACATCAAGTATATCCCCATTTCCCTTTCCTTTGTGACTGCAGTAACTGCATTGATAGAGGAAGCACACAAGCATCTGGCAGTAAGTTCACACACCAGTTACCATGCTTGTACACTCAACTATGTGCTCACTGGGGGTTGCACACTTTAGCTGCAATGATTGCACACATGCTTGCTGGCGCTGGGACAGTGTCACACTCCTTTTGTTGTGATTTTTTGGAAAATTCTGGTTGTAGTACTTGCCACACATCGGCTGTTGGGCTCACATATGTACTTGCTGGGAGTCACATGATGTCCATGATGCTCACTTTATCTTTTAATTTCGATGCTCACTGAGGGCTGTAACTTTAGTTGCAATGTACATACACACGTGCACGTGCGAGACAGTACACCCACCCACCCACACACACTCACATACACACACTCGATAGTGGTGAGCCTGAATATTGTTGTAACTGTAGGAAGGGGCCCAAACAGCAAAACTGCTAAGATTATATTTGGCACATAGTATGGCTGACACTGGGGATCAAGCTCACTTGGGATCACGTTGTTAGACAAAGTTCTTTATGCCAAGCAGCCATGCCCTGGACTTCATGATGGAGATATCATGAGCGGAATCCCTACTTAAGAGTCTTTCATTTTTAACACCAGGCCAAAGATTAAATCCTAATGCAAGGTGTGTGCTCAGCCACTGAGTCACATCCCTAACTCCCACATATATTCTTACAAGAAGTGATAAATCAAATGACTTAGCTCAGGGACTAATAACTAATCTCTGAATCACACATTAGTGGACTTGTATTTATACTCTTTGAACTGTTACAAAAGTTTAAACCAGAAAAACGAACAAGAGACTTAAATCAAGGAAAGGCAAAGAGTGTAATTGAATTTTGGTTCATGCCCACTGCCCAAAGGTATAAGAATTAATTAGTACAAAAATAAGTGCCTAAAAAGTAGATAATAATTACCATTATTCACGTGTATAGTTGTACATCCTATATTGGATAAAGAGAAAATGAATTAGATAAACAATAGTGATTTTAAAAATCTACATAATGCCATATAATCTGTTAACTTCCTACGGGTATTTTAGCATTTAAAAATACATATTCCAGTTTTAGAAAATTAACTATAGCAGCTCATGGTCCTTTAACAACCCATCAAAAGCAAATATGATTAGATTAACACGCATTTTAACTTTCAATGCAAAAGGTTGATTATTTCATCAAGTATTCTATATATACAAAAATAGTAATTTATAAGAATAAAATTGCAAAAAATACTAGTAAGATAATCTTATTTCTGATTTTGTTCTTCCTGAGTTCCTTCAATAAGAGAATGCACGGGAAGTTTCCCAAACAGTATACAGACTACTAATGCTCACTAACATAAAAATGATTACTAGTATAGTGAGTGTAGGAGGAGTAGGTATTAAAATCCAAAAGGAGAATACAATTTTGTTTGTAGTAGTGGAGACTGAACCCAGGCCTTCACACACAAGGCTAGTGCTCTCGAGCATCATTCTTCAACTTATTCCACCTGCAGACTGGCACCAGTCTATGGTGAGGTTAAAGACCACAGTTCTGGGGCTAGAGCGATAGCACAGCAGGTAGGGCGCTTGCCTTGCATGCGGCCGACCTGGGTTCGATTCCCAGCATCCCATATGGTCCCCTGAGCACCGCCAGGAGTAATTCCTGAGTGCATGAGCCAGGAGTAACCCCTGAGCATCGCCGGATGTGACCCAAAAAGAAAAAAAAAACACAGTTCTAAACTGTACTCTGAGTTCAGTAGGAAAAATAGATTGGTTTTTTCCATGTGCTGGGTACTAACACAGGGCCTCAAACATCTAAGCAACTGATTTAACACGAAGTCAAGTCCCTAACCCTCAGATGTAGGCCCAGGTCCTCAAGAGGTTTTGGTTTTACTTTCTTTGTAAGTATGATTCATTCTTTTCAATTTTTAAAGTTGAGGTACTGTTGTTTTACACCAGCGTTTTTCAACCTTTTTTCTGACCCTGGACCCTTGCAAACTTGTTTCCTTCCCATGGCTCCTCTGTCCCACCATTTGATTCCCTAAATTTGGATTGTGACCCCTCCCCATTTATATGATTTTCATGTGTGGGCCCTAACAGGGCCATATGTTCCCTTTTGAGAAAGGCTACTCTAGAGTAGAAGTTTTTGTTGTTTTTGTACTGGGGACACGCCCAGCAGTGCTCAGGGCTTATTCCTGTCTTTGTGCTCAGACAACACACCTGGCAGGCTTGGGGTGAGGAACAAGTGGGGTTGGGAATCTATCCCGGGTAATCTACAAGAAAGGCAAATGCCCTACCCACTGTACTATTGCTCTGGAACCAAGAATAGAATTTTAAATAATATATATACATATATATTTACTTGGACCTTTAAAAATAAATAATCTAAATTAAAATGAATAAACAAAGGCATCCATATTTTAGACATATAGTAATGGAAATTACCTTCAACTGAGCATAGATAAACAGGGAGTCTCTAACAAAACTATAGACTGGGAACATTTAATTGCAATGGAAAGACCCAACTTTTACCTTTCCCTTCATTACCTAAACATACAGGAAATGGTATTTGAAAAAGTGAAAAAGCACATGCCTACTATGGGGCAAACCCTGTTCAATTCCTGGACGACATGAACATGGTCCCTTACTGCACCCTGGAGATCAGCACCACCAGGGTGGCCCAAGTAATCCTGGCACTGCAGGACTCAAGCAGTATCACATCCTCAGGCCTTGCACTGAACGACCAGCCCAGTTGGCAGAGAACCGCCAGTGGGCACTCCAGGCATCCTAAGCACTGTTCTGGAGGTTCGCAAAATTCATACATAAATAAATGTATGAAACATCTATCATTAGCATGACCCATTTGCCCTAAACTATCCATCTACATGTCTCTACAAACAAAATAGGTCCTAAAGAGTAAAACACTCAAGCTTGCCATTATGAGTGTAGATGAATCTCTGTTTCTCCAGATTCGGAGATCTTTGAGTCAGTCCTCTTCCAGGAGTGAGGAGCCCCTTCCTGGAGTTACAAAATCTACGAAACAAAACAAAATACACTTAGAGTGAGGTTCCACGGCTTACCTGGCAAGCCCAAAGACCTGTGTCTCCTTCCAGAGTATTAGGTAAAGGTAAAGGTAAAGGCCCTCCCGTTGATCGTCGATTTGCTCGAGCGGGCCCAGTAACGTCTCCATTGGAGACTTTGTTGTTACTGTGTCTGGCACATGGAATACTCTCGGTAGCTTGCCGGGCTCTCCAAGAGGGGCGGAGGAATCGAACTCGGGTCGGCCATGTTGGCCGCGTGTAAGGCGAACGCCCTACCCGCTGTGCTATCGCTCCAGCCCAGAGTATTATTTGCAAAAAATAAAAGATACCAACTGAGTTTAATGAATTTACTCTTGATCTGTTTTATTAGCTTCAGAATCCCAGAATCAACTGGGTCAACAAACAACTGAGCAAATAAATTAGGGGCATGTATTATGCTCTTTATTATTAGGTAAAAGGTAAAGGTAAAGGCCCTCCCGTTGATCATCGATTTGCTCGAGCGGGCCCAGTAACGTCTCCATTGGAGACTTTGTTGTTACACCATGGTTACTTAAAATTAAGCTAAAAGCGGGGGCTGGAGGAATGGTACGGGGATTGGCACTTTCCTTACATGTGGCCAACCCTGGTTTAATTCCAAGTGCCACTAGGAGGGATCCGTGAGCAAAGAACCAAGAGTGAGCCCCGAGCATCACTGGACGTGACACCACTCCCCAATAAAAATGACCAAATATAAGTTAAAACCAAGTATGAATTAATTGAATTTGAAGATATATTTAACCTTTTCCAGATTCAAAGGGAATTCTGAAGAATCAAGAGGCAGGTTGGGAAACTCAGGCAGGTCATTATCAATGCACCTTTCCAAGGAAAGGAGCCAAGCAAGTCAAAGAAGTCACCAGGTGGGGACAGAAGTCACGCGGTGGCCCTGGCTCTGTTCTGGGTCTCAAGTTGAGGGGGTGGGTTTCCAGTGCAAGAACAGACAATGCAATTCATGCCTCAATTTAGAGAATAAGTCAGTCGGCTCTTTATCAAGTTGGACAACAAAATGCTATTAAGCGTGCCCACCAGTCAGATAAAGCAGTCTTCTCCTGTAGTCTGTATTATATATCTACAAACTCTTTCCCTCACCAGCTACTGATGGAACCGGCTTGAGGCTCCATACTCCAAAGGACCACGTGTGTGTGGAACTTGAGTGCAAAGAAAGAGGAGCTGCAAACTGACTTTAAAGCTGTCTTCAAATCGTGAAGCAAAGTTTCTATGTATTGTTGGGGCTAGAGAGATGCAGGCAGAGAGAGAACGCTTTACAGCTGATAGCAAGATCTGCAGGAAGCACCCCTGACCCAGAAGCAGCCCCCAGAGAAATGACAGGATCAATGTCATCATCACCAAGACTACACCAGGGAGAGAGAGTGCAGGAGCTCCTGCAGCGGCATAACTGCAGAAACTGGAACAGGGGTGATCGTCCTGGAAGCCAGGCAGACAGAGAGAACGTGGGAGCGTGGGAGTGCACAAAAGCTCCAGTCAATGGGGGGGGGGAGGCGTTACCCCAACCCGCACACACTGGAGGCCTGGCCAGGGAGCCCCCAGACGATGGGAACGAAAGGCATCCTTCCCGTCCATGCGGTCCCCCTCGGCCGCCTGGGCCCCCACCTCCCCAACAGGGCCTATTGCTCCCTAGAGCTGAAGTCCCACTGAGCACCAGTGGCATTAAAAGTCACGCAGTCCTGAGAGCCCAAAAGGTAGCGGGGAGTCTGTGCCCACGTTACAACACACCCAAGTCAGTCCAACTGGGTCAAACGCTTACCCCTAAAAACGCTCCTTAAACGAGGGCAAAGGGCTGGTAAAAAATGGGGTAACTTGAAATACACGCTGACTAACGGACAACCCCAAAAGCGGTTTACAGGCACAGTTCTGGTGAGCAAGCAGAAAGGAATTTCGGGGAACACCCAGCTTCCTCGCTTAGAGTGCGGCTTCGTAGCGATCAGAAAATTGTGCCCGAAGACTCTAAAGTAAGGCGCTCGGGGCCCCACCCTAGGCCTGAGAGCCCGAATCCCGCTTGCTGCACCCCACTCTTTTCTGCGGCCCCAAATCTTAGTCCCGCCTCCCCCAACCCCTCCTTCCGTCCCGGCCCCCTAGCAGCAGGGACCCAACGAGGGCGGCCACTCTCAGCCCGCCCGCGCCCCACCGGGCCCCATCTACCTACCGCAGCACCGTCCGCCTCATCGTGCTCAGTCCGCCAGGAGCTTTCCGAGCACAAACTCCTGGGCCCCGCTCAGCGGCTGACTGGAGGAAGCTGAGTCCCGGCCCTAGCGGGAACCCGGCGTCCGAGCTCAGCCCCGGCGGCCGCACCCACGTTCCCTCCCTACCCGGACAGCTGGGGGCGGGGCCTCAACGCCGGGGGCGGGGCTTTCTCCCGGCGGCTAGACCGCGTTCCCGTCCCCACCCCTCCTCATCTCATTGGCCCGTAGCTGCTGTCAATCTCCGGGGGTCGGCCCGCCCGCGGCAGCTGAACCGGGTGGTTCGCTGACCGCTGCACCCACCCACCCCCGCTCTTATTAGCCATGTGCGGCACACCGCATCGGCCGTGGGGTGCAGCCGAGTCCACAGAGGTTACCTCCCTCAACTCCCTGAGCTGCAGTTCGCGCGACCTTGGCCCCCCGGGCCTCGGCAGCTGGACTTTGGTTCTTGCCCTTAGCTGAAGGTCAGACTCCTCCGGGCAGCTTTCCAAACGCCCGCGCCTGGGCCCCGCCCTCGGGGAAGTCTGAGTTAGTGGGGTGCGGCTTCGCCTGCGGGAGGGCTACAAGGACCCATAAAGATGTCAATAAACAGAGACTGTGAGTCACCGACCTAAAGAGTGCATAAAACGTCCCTCTTTCATTCGAGGCATGTCCCCTAACCTTTGAAAGTTGGAGATCTTGGCCAGCCCAGAGTCAGTACCACTGTAACGAGGATTTTGCTTTATGATCTTATTTTGATGTCATTCAACACATTTTTCTTTTCTCAAAGAATTGATCTCGTTGTCCACTTCTGATCTGTTTGTAGTGCTCCAGACTTTATTTTTTTATGCTGGAGATCCTCCAAGTGGCAAAATTCCTATCCTTAGAGTGCCCACCTTATAAGCATAAGTAATAAGTTAGCAAGGCAGTTAACAAGGTGGGAAAAAAAATCTCAAGAAGAAATAAAGTAGTGAAGGAAGGTTTTCAGAATATGCAAGTCTTGCTTTGTCATTGAACATAGGAATTTTCTAGGGTTAGGATCTAGTTTTCTTTTTCTGATACCTTATGATTGTAAATATTTGTCGATGTAAATTAAGCTGCCTTTTAAATCACTTCATAAAGTACAAGTGAAAACGGTCATTTTTTTTCTTTTTAATTAAAAAAAATTTTTTTTTGGTTTTGGAGCCACACACAAAAGTGGCTGCGCACAGGGATCGCTCCTGATGGAGATCAGGGAACCATATTAAAAAGCAAAATTTCAGGGCTGAAGTGATAGCACAGCAGGTAGGGCGTTTGCCTTGCACGTGGCCGATCCAGGTTCGATTCCCAGAATCCCATATGGTCCCCTGAGCACCGCCAGGGATAATTCCTGAGTGCAGAGCCAGGAGTGACCCCTGTGCATCGCCAGGTGTGACCCAAAAAGCAAAAAAAAAAAAAAAAAAAAGCAAAATTTAATACAAGTCTCCTAACCTTCTTCATCTGGTCATAGTCAACTTTTCTCCCACTTATCCATTTTCTCTGACAAATTCAGGTTCTCAAGCTCTGATTCTTATTTCCATCTATGTTCTTCCTGACCCAGACCCACTTTCCACATTTTTAATACTATCTTGTATGGGATAAATAAAGCCTCTATTAAGATCCCCTTCACCGAAGCCACAGAACAAGTCAACCCTGACATTCTTCAGCCCACAGAAACCAACAGTATCTTCCCCGTACAATTACATTTGCACCATGATGCATTGCCGCCCCTCTCGGAGAGCCCGGCAAGCTACCGAGAGTATTCAATATGCCAGACACAGTAACAACAAAGTCTCCAATGGAGACGTTACTGGGCCCGCTCGAGCAAATCGACGATCAACGGGAGGGCCTTTACCTTTACCTCGAGCATTGCCATAGACCAGAACATAGTTGTGAGATATGTAACTACCTTGGCAAAAGTCTATGCTTCTATTTCACAGAAATTTACAGTGAAGATCTATATATTTTATAGACCCTAAAGTCATGCTAGCTATTTGAATTGACAAAACAAGCTTCTAGGTGTAAATTGTATTTTGTGCTTCTTGAAAATGGAGCCAAACAAAAACAGGTGTTGTCATTATTCTAATTGACTTGATCTCCAGAAACACTGATTTTTCTTTGCTGTTTTATTTTTGCATGTGTAGTCTATGGGGTTGTCAGACTGCTTTGTTTTGTAGAGGCAACTTATTAGAGCATAGAACATGACCTATGGCTTCTGCCTGACTTCCTGTAATGAAATACAGAAATCAAGCCCAGAGAGAGGAAAGATCCTTATTTTACACTCTGTGAGAAGGGACACACCCAGCTGTGTTTAGGGCTTACTCCTGACTGCACTCAAACATCACCTTTGGCAGGACCTGAGGGATCTTACAGAGTGCCAGAGATCTAACCAGCGTCAACCACATGTAAAGCAAGCACCCTACCTGCTGCTATCTCTCTGGCCCATTTTACTCCGACAATGTCTCTTCAAAATAGCCTTTTCTTCCTTGATTCAAGCGCTTACTATTATTAACAATTCACTCCTCAAATGTTGTTCAGCTTCTTTAACTCCCTTACCATGGCTCCGACAGTTTTTGTAAAATTTCCCTAAGGAACACTCATATGCATACACACTCATGCACATACATACACACACACAGGCTGGAAAACTAAAGAAACTCCATTACCCATACAAAGTGGTCACAGCTGCTCCTTTCCCGAACCCTCCACCCCATGACTTCCAGCCTGGGACTTGAAGGGCCAAGAAACACATGAGTGGCAAGTGACAGAATGGGAGAGAGGGAATTAGCAAGGTGCTCACTGTTGATGACACACAAGGAGGCTCCATTTCTGTGAATCGTTCCATCATCAAGAGCCCCACAGAGACGACAATGGTTGTGGTTCACCATGCCCATAGATGCTCTGCATCCCAGACCCAGTCACACTGCAGAGAACTGAAGTCAGCTGGTCCAGCCCCACCCCCCCAGTTCTTAGTCTTCCCCTCCATAATGCTGGTGCCACCCTTGAATCTCCCCCCCCCCCCGCCCCCACTGCCTCCACTCCACTTCTGCCCTCACCACTTCTCTCAGACTCACAATTTGGTGACATTTGGGAGACTAAGAATGCGGGGATGCATAAGGCAATCAATGGTCATGGGTCAAGATAAGCAAGCATCCAAAAGGACAGAGGAGTGTGAAACAAATCAGAATTATTTAGCAACCTTGACACTAATGGAAGAATATTCAAAGTACCCCTAATACAGCAAGGGGGAATTTTTGCTAGGCAATGTGATTTGGACAGATTTTTGGACAGATTTTTCCTCGTGTATTTATTAGTTTCCTGTTGCTTCATAACAAATTGCCATCATGTTGCTGGCTCGAAACATCACAAGCATATTACCTGACAGTGTTGTAGAGCAAAAGTCTGTCCTGGAGGTATCATCAGTGCTTGTTCTTTCCTGGTTGCTATAAGAAACTCTTTGCAGCTTCTAAAAGCCAACTACACAGCGTGGCTTGAGGCCTCATGCAACCTCTTTGAAGCCAGTAAAAGAACATTTTTTCTGGGAGCTGGAGCAATAGCACAGCGGGTAGGGCATTTGCCTTGCACACGGCCAACCCAGGTTCGATTTCCAGCATCCCATGTGGTCCCCTGAGCACCGCCAGGGGTAATTCCTGAGTGCAGAGCCAGGAGTAACATCTGTGCAACACCAGGTGTGACCCAAAAAGCAAAAGAAAAAAAAAGAACATTTTTCTCAATCTGTTTTTCATGCTGTTTTTCCATAGTGACATTCTTTCATTTTTCTTTGGGAAGGCACCCCCAGCTGTGCTCAGGGCTTACTCCTGGCAGTGCTCAGAGGCTCCCAGGGTTGTACTCAACAGTGCTCAGGTTGCCATATAGAACTTGGGATCAAACTCAGAACCTCACAGATACCTAGCATGGGCTCTGTCACTTTAGCCACATCTGAGTCCCTATCTTCAATTCTTTAAAAATTTTAATAGAGCCAATATAGCACTTGGGCTGGACTGATAGCACAGCAGGTAGGGCGTTTGCCTTGCATGCGGCCGACCTGGGTTCAATTCCTCCGTCCCTCTCGGAGAACCTAGCAAGCTACCGAGAGTATTCGCCCACACAGGGCCTTACAAGCTCCCTGTGGCGTATTCGATATGCCAAAAATAGTAACAAGTCTCACAATGGAGACGTTGCTGGTGCCCGCTCGAGCAAATCGATGAACAACAGGAGGACTGTGCTACAGTGCTACAATGCTACATATATGTCTCTTGGGTGTGGTCTTCCAGATATGAAGCTATAAAATCAAAGATGGAAAGTTCCTGGTCTCCAGGATCTCACTGTCCAGACAGGGAAACAAAAGCAGAAATGTAACCAAATGCATAGTGCTAAAACTGCCCCAACGACCAATATCACAAGATCTCAGAGGAAGAGGCAAACAATGCATTCTGCGAGGAGGAAATGTTAGAATCTTTGTTTTGTCTGTGTTTGTTTTGGGGGGCACACCTTTCAGTGCTGGGGATTCCAGTTTGGTATTTAGGGGTTGCTCTGGTGGTGCTTAGGGGGCCATGTGGTACTAGGGATGGAACCTGGGTTTCCTGTGTGTAAGTTATGTGCACTAGCCTTTTGGAGCTACCTCCTCAACCCTAGTGGAAGAATCTTGATGGAAAATGGTAGCGGCATAGAAAACCCAAAGAGGAGGTGATATTTGAGAATTCTTCCCTTAGAGAAAAAGAGACCAAATTATCAAAACTAAAATTTTCCAGTTTCATAATTAAACATTTTGTAAAGAGGCTATGAAAGTTTGCCAAAGAGTAAGTATTGGGAACCCCGGGATTTAGTACCTCCTTTCATGAATATTACCACTAATTTGATACTCAGCATGATCCTACATCCCTGGGTTTGATCCTCAGCACCACAAATGCAATCTCTGGCATGAAACAGTGTGTGATCACTGTATACTATAACCCCAACAACCAAAAAAAAAAAAAGAATAGTTTTTATCTTTTTTTTCTTTTTTGGTCACACCTGGCTTTGCACAGGGGTTACTCCTGGCTCATGCACTCAGGAATTAATTACTCCTGGCGGTGCTCAAGGGACCATATGGGATGCTGGGAATCAAACCCAGGTTGGCCACGTG